TTGGTTCATGTTCATTTTTCTGAGCCTTACGTTGCTGCCTTTCCAGGAATGATGTGAGCGATTCACTATTTTTTCAGTTCCTTTTTGCTTAATTCAGCCAGTCCGTGTCTGTCGCTTGCTACTAAGAAAACTGAGTAACATACCTGGTTACCTTGCGAAGCTGTTGTGAGTTATCTGGCTGAGTTATTTCAAGTGAAATTGCTTGGGAAATGATAAATTGAGATCTAATATCATGTAGTGAATATTTATTAAGATCTTTATGAAGGTAAAGGATGAGTACATGCAGGCTGTGAGCTCAAGATGCTTTCAAAACAGTGAAGGGCACAACAAGAACTCAGACGACTATAACACAACGTACAGTCAGAGGGATCTCATAAGAGATATAAGTAAAGGCATATGGCGCAAAAGGGAGGAGGTGGTATGAGAAAGTCAAAAGGCGCACAGCTCATACTAAGTTGGGTAGACGAACAAAATTTCCACGGGGGAGTAAGTATTTGCCATCATCCTTAAAGGCTAAATTGGAGCTTAAGGTAGGGTATGGATACTGACCTTGCAGTCAGTCAGTTATCTCTCTGCCTTTCCAGCTCCACTCCTGGGTCTTAACCTCCTTGGTTCTGTTTCCTCGCCCATGAAATGAGGAAGTTCCAGCAAGTGGTCTGCAAGCTTAGTAGGGCTCTTAAATTTCCGATTGATTCCCACAGGCCGTTCGGGAGAATACTGCAGATAGAAGGAGCACGGTAAACTAAAAAGTAACACGAGGAAGCCAAATGGCAGATCATCCATAAATTTGGTCTCATGGCACCAACACCAAAACCAAAGGGGACCCAAAAGAGAATTTGTCCGAGAAGACTGAGTCCCTTGGTTTACAGTTATGGAGACTGTAGTCGCAAAAGAGAGAGAATCGCTTTTTTTTTTTTTTTTTTGGCTATAGGGCATTTATTGCAAACAGAACATCTGAGGTACGAGAAGCTGACCCGGAACCCACGCCTGCCCTGGCTACGATGGGGCAGTCTCGCCTCACCCCACGCCAGGCCCCTGGCACTATGGACCCAAAGCAGCCCGCTAAAGGCAGGGCCCCACGCTCTGAGGTAGCTGCATCTTAAGCCCCCACAGTACAACTCCCCAGGCTTGCCCAACTCCCATGCAGATCCAGGCATGGAGGGGAGGAGGGGGTCAGTGGATGTCAGAGCCAAGGCGGGGACCCAGGTCTTGGTCCATCAGTCCAGGGCTGTTTCCCCCTTCAGCGTTGCTCTGCAATCAGTCAAGTTTGGTGTTTACAGGCAAGCCATGATTTTGAAGCCATCAAAGACTACAATTCTATTGAGAGCTCTTTTTTTTTTTTAAAGGATTTTCTTTTTTTTTAATTTTATTTATTTATTTGAGAGAGAAAGAATGAGAGACAGAGAGCATGAGAGGGAAGAGGATCAGAGGGAGAAGCAGACTCCCCGTTGAGCAGGGAGCCCGATGCCGGACTCGATCCTGGGACTCCGGGATCATGACCTGAGCCGAAGGCAGGCGCCCAACCAACTGAGCCACCCAGGTGCCCCATCTATTGAGAGCTCTTAAAGGTGCCTGGCATAAAGCTTCAATCATTCATCTGGGAGCACTCTACAGGGGTCCTTGAAGCCACCTTTTCTAAGGGGGTCTTACAGGCCAGGAGAGTGATATAAGAAAAATGAAATAAACTCTGGAATGACAACGTTACATTCAAAATTTAGCCAGGTGTAAATTTAACCAGAGTCGGTTTACACCTGAATATCTCGCTTGTATCTTCCACCTGAATATCTCGCTTGTATCTTCAATTCATCACATAACCTTCTTTATTTTAGGAAATAGGTTCTCTGGTGCTTAACCCTAGGTCAGAGGTCATTTGAGTTTTAACAATGAATAATTTCAGCTTTAAGTTGATTTGAGGGGACATTTTAGCATGTTTTTCATATGCTAAGCAACTTTAAGAATTTAAAAAAAGTATTTTGCCCAGAGGAAGCACACTGTTAGAAGGATAATAAAAGGAGCACTGAATAATTAAGCTCAGATTTAAAAAAATTACAAGTTTGCCAGCTTATTTAATCCCTATGATATTAAGACTACTGGCCATAAAATAATATTTCCTTGCCACTTAGGTATAGAAATCTTTTAACACTGAGGTATTTATCCTAAAGAGAGATTATCATCATAAATAATGCTTGCAGATGAGAATTTAATATTTCACCATTTTATCAATAACTATGAATGCAAAATATATTTAAGCAAATCACAGTATGTGTTACTTCCTATGTGATTAAAAAAACAACAACAAATAATGAAGGCACTTATCCCTCCTCCAAAAAAAAAAAAGAAAAAAGAGTAAGAATCATTCCATCACTTCAAGGCAGGCTAAATTAAAAAGTCAAAAAAAGACTATAGTTTATTGATTTCCTTAGGCTACTTAAAAATAACTGTGGACCTCTATTCTTCTTACCATGAAACAAAATACTGAACTCTGCCCTTTGGGCATACTACCATACTTCAAATGCTGATCTTATCATCGCTTGCAAGTCAAACAGAGTTGGACTTTAAAAGGAAGAAAGGAAAAGCCTGGAGCCACTGGGAAGCATCAAGGGGTCAGGCTGTTGGTCTGGTTCTGGTCAGAGTGGACCTAGGGTCACAAGGCCTGAATAAGAATCACTCAGCTCCCAGTTGACAGTTTTCAAAGTATGTGACCAGAATTTGAAATATAATATATAAAGACCCATATTCTGAAACTGATGTTCTATTTCATTTGGCATCTTTCCATTTGTTCTATTTGTGAACGGGAAAGAGTAAAATTTCCCCTTGTCACTACAATTTGAATTCTGTTTGCAATAATGAATCATTATAAGAAGCTATAAAATAATAACACCAAAGTGAATTGGAAATCGGTGGACTTGGATGGGGGTTTTCTCATATGTTTAAAATTTCAGCCACATCCCTTCTGGGTTCCTGGATGCTCATTTTATACTAAGTTGTGAAATGTATTCATCAATCATAAGTGGGAGTTAAAAGCTTCCCCAAAGTGCAAAGCATTAAGAATTAGTTCAATTAATATTCAGTTAACTACATGTCATTTGTTTGCTGGTATGAGTGGCTCCTTTAAATTAATCTCTCTCTCTCTCTGTCTGGCTTTTTTTTTTTTTTTTTTGAAAGATTTCAGAATTTTCCATCTCTAACTCCCAGGGACAAACATGGCTCAGTGGTCTTCCTGGAGCAGAATCTGACACTTCCCAGCAATACTCCATATAGAGGCTGGGTTGTGACCTGGAAAGTAGCTGTGAGTGTGCCGGCAGGGATCAAAATTCTGGACTGGAGAAGCTCAGGGGAACGTCCTGGAAGGGTTAATAAAGACAAGTACTTCTTACCGAAATGTACCTCCATCTGCGTTTTAGATCTTAAATTTTCACTGAAATTGAAAATGTCACAGCAGTGTCTTACACTCTTTTCTTTCCCAAATCTAAACTATTTTCAAACAGGAAAAGGGCAGGATGACCATGATTCCAATTCTATATTCCCACTAATAATCTGATTTGTGTTACTGAACAGAAAACAACATTCTCCAAAAGAAAACATTTTGATCAGGATAAGTAAACGAGACTGCTCAAGAAACGAATCTGGAAATGGCTGGGTTTTAACTGTGAAGGCTCTTCTTTTTTCTTCGAAGAGGTGCGTGCTGTTAAGAAACCTTGCAGAAGGGGAATCCGCACACTTTCAAACCGCACAAACACAAGGGGGCAGGAAGAGCTCAAACTCTGACTTAAAAACCGGCTCACCGAAATGGGAGCTAACCTATTTTCGTTGGCCCTCCGGATATTTATCAATTCTCTTGGCATGCAAAGAAATGTGATGTGGACAAGTAGGTTTAGTTTGTACTTGGTCTAATTACTGCAAAGAGAACAGGAACGTTTCTAACGACAGCTACCCAAACAGCGGCTGCTTTGGGAGAGCCTGGGGCTACATTCCCTAGATCTTATTTTTTGGTGCTAGTCTCGCCATTCCGATCGGACCGACTGCATTTCTCACGCATTCCAAACGTCCCTCCCGACCCACCTCTTTTACTCTTACTCTGAACTTTGGTTGCAAAGGAGGAGCTTGTTTAAAACTCACCACCAAGGACTGTGCCCCCTTGTAATTTACGAGGAGAGAGCAGCGGCCCCGGGTGGGGTGGGGGGGTGTGTGTGTGTGAGCAACCTGCTCTAGCACTGGCTTTTAATTCTAGCTGTCCTTTTGCAAATAAGCCCCAGTCTTTCTTCCCAAACTGCTCTGGGTTTCGAGTCAAACGCAAGCGACATTGCGAACAACTTTCCTCTCCGGTTTGCAAATTTCAGTGAGCAATGACCACACACTCCCCCGCGCGAGACCGCATCGAATTGAAGGGGACGGGAGCTAAAATGGGTAATCCTGGATCCCAGGCAGCTGAAGAACTGATGCAAGCCCAGCTGCATGTCCCGACTCCTCTGCTGGAACCCCAACCCTGGCATCCCGGAGCGAAACGTGAGCAAAGGTGGGCACCCCGAGACCGCCAGTACCCCCTCGCTTCCAGGACAACTTGTAGCGCCTTGTATCTCCTCCCCTCGGCACGGTTTCCCCGCCTCCGCCCCTAGGAGCTGATTGGCAGATATCACTACCCAACCCTGGACTCGGGGCCTCCTCCCGGGACCAACGATTGGCCTCCTGGGAGGACTGGAGTAAAGGGGTGCTAGGGAAGGAGTTTCCCTCAAAGCTCTAGGTCCGGGACCTGGGAAGCAGGAGTGGAGGGACTTGGTTCTCCCAGCCCGTGTGAGGCCGGCGGCGGAGCGGGACGGCCAGGGGGCTCAGCCTCCGCAGCAGCGCCAGCCCGGCCCGGCCCGCGCAACTTTCCATCCTGGCCCAGCCGCGGCTACAGAGTACGGGGTTCCTGGCACTTTCCGGAGGGGTCTCTTGCTCCCTGCCGGGGGACTGACTGCGCTCTCTAAGGCTGACCTGTCCGAACTCTTAACACCCGGATCATGCACGCGGCCAGGACCCCCGGGATGGCCTGCCGCGCCGGCGGGGTGGCCCACCCCCCCAGTTTTCAGCCGATACCTGCGCTGCCGCCCCGCCTCGTGCTGCTGCTGCTGCTTCTCCTGTCACTGGTAAGGTGCGTCCCGGCACAGCCCGCTGCCCCTGGCCGGGCGTTGCTGTCCCCGGATCTCGCGGGGGCTGCAGGGGTCCCCGCCGAGGAGGCCATAGTGCTGGCGAACCGTGGGCTGCGGGTGCCCTTCGGCCGCGAGGTCTGGCTGGATCCTCTGCACGACCTGGTGCTGCAGGTGCAGCCGGGGGACCTTTGCGCGGTGACCGTGCTAGACAACGACGCGCTGGCCCAGAGGCCTGGCCGCCTGAGTCCCAAGCGCTTCCCGTGCGACTTCGGCCCGGGAGAGGTGCGTTACTCGCACCTGGGCGCGCGCAGCCCGTCGCGGGATCGCATTCGGCTGCAGCTGCGCTACGACGCTCCGGGAGGGGCAGCAGTGCTGCCCTTGGTGTTGGAGGTGGAGGTGCTTTTCACCCAGCTGGAGGTTGTGACTCGGAACTTGCCCCTCGTCGTGGAGGAGCTGCTGGGGACCAGCAATGCCCTGGACGCGCGGAGCCTGGAGTTCGCCTACCAGCCCGAGACCGAGGAGTGTCGCGTGGGCATCCTGTCCGGCTTGAGCGCGCTGCCTCGCTACGGGGAACTCCTTCACTACCCGCAGGTTCCAGGTGGAGCCAGCGAGGGGGGCGCCCAGGAGCCAATCCTGATGGACTGCAAAGCTTTCCAGGAGCTAGGCGTGCGCTACCGCCACACGGCCCCCAGTCGGTCACCAAACAGGGACTGGGTGCCCATGGTGGTGGAGCTGCGCTCTCGAGGTTCGCCTGTGGGCAGGCCTGCTTTAAAACGTGAGCACTTCCAGGTGCTGGTGAGAATCCGAGGAGGGGCTGAGAACACTGCACCCAAGCCCAGTTTTGTGGCCATGATGATGATGGAGGTGGACCAGTTTGTACTCACGGCCCTGACCCCAGACATGCTGGCCGCCGAGGATGCTGAGTCGCCTTCTGACCTGTTGATCTTCAACCTCACCTCTCCTTTCCAGCCTGGCCAGGGCTACCTAGTAAGTACTGATGATCGTAGCCTGCCCCTCTCCTCCTTCACGCAGAGGGACCTGCGGCTCTTGAAGATTGCCTACCAGCCCCCGTCTGAGGACTCTGACCAGGAGCGTCTCTTTGAACTGGAGTTGGAGGTAGTGGACCCGGAAGGAGCTGCCTCAGACCCTTTTGCTTTTATGGTAGTGGTGAAGCCCATGAACACACTGGCTCCCGTGGTCACCCGGAACACTGGTCTCATTCTTTACGAGGGCCAGGCTCGGCCCCTTACAGGCCCTGTGGGCATCGGACCACAAAACTTGGTCATCAGCGATGAGGATGACCTGGAGGCAGTGCAGCTGGAGGTGGTGGCTGGGCTCCGGCATGGTCACCTTGTTCTTCTGGGGGCCACCGATGGCAATGCTGCCCCTAGGACCTTTACAGTGGCTGAGCTAGCGGCTGGCCAGGTGGTCTACCATCACGATGACAAAGATGGCTCACTGAGTGACAACCTCGTCCTTCGAATGGTGGATGGAGGACGCAGGCACCAGGTGCAGTTCCTGTTCCCCATCACCTTAGTGTCTGTGGATGACCAACCACCAGTCCTCAATGCTAACACGGGGCTGACACTGGCAGAAGGTGAAACGGCGCCCATCCTGCCGCTTGCTCTAAGTGCAACTGACATTGACTCAGATGACTCTCTGCTGCTTTTTGTGCTGGAGCCGCCCTCCTTAACTGTAGGGCATCTGCTTCTCCGCCAAACTCATCCTCCCCGTGAGGAGGAGGAGGAACTGAGCAGGGGCCCTTGGAGGAGACAGGGAGCATTCTACGAGCAGACGGTGACAGAGTGGCGGCAGTGGGACATAACCGAGGGGAGGCTGTTCTACAGGCACTCGGGGCCCCATAGTCCCGGGCCAGTGATGGACCAGTTCATATTTCGAGTCCAGGATAACCATGACCCCCCTAATCAGTCGGGACCACACAGGTTTGTGATACGCATTCATCCTGTGGATCGCCTCCCTCCAGAGCTGGGCAGCGGCTGTCCCCTTCGGATGGTGGTGCAGGAATCCCAGCTCACCCCGCTGAGGAGGAAGTGGCTTCGCTACACTGACCTGGACACAGATGACCGAGAACTGCGTTACACAGTGACCCAGCCCCCCATGGACACAGATGAAAACCACTCACCAGCCCCACTGGGCACCCTGGTCCTGACTGACAACCCCTCAGTCGTGGTGGCCCATTTTACCCAAGCCCAGATCAACCACCATAAAATTGCTTACAGACCCCCGGAGCAAGAACTGGGAGTGGCTGCCCGAGTGGCCCAGTTTCAGTTCCAGGTGGAGGACCAAGCTGGGAATGTGGCTCTGGGCACCTTCACCCTTTACTTGCAGCCAGTGGACAACCAGCCACCCGAGATCCTCAACACTGGTTTCACCATTCAGGAGAAGGGCCACCACATCCTGAGTGAGACTGAGTTGCATGTGGTTGATGTAGACACTGACATGGCCCACATCTCTTTCACTCTCACACAGGCGCCCAAACATGGCCACATGAGGGTGTCTGGACGGATACTGCATGTAGGGGAGGTCTTCCACTTGGAAGACATAAAACAGGGTCGGATTTCGTATGTCCATAACGGGGATGAGTCTCTCACTGATAGCTGCTCCTTGGAGGTCAGCGACAGACACCACGTGGTGCCCATCACTCTTAGAGTAAATGTCCGGCCAGTGGATGATGAGGTCCCCATGCTGAGCCTTCCTGCTGGCACTCTGGGGTCATATCTAGATGTTCTAGAAAATGGAGCTACTGAAATCACTGCCAGTGTAATCAAGGGGACTGATGAGGACACTGATGATTTGATGTTGACTTTCGTCTTGGAAGATCCACCCTTATATGGAGAAATCCTGGTCAACGGAGTTCCAGCAGAGCAGTTTACCCAAAGGGACATCTTAGAGGGCTCTGTTGTCTATGCCCACACTAGTGGTGAGATAGGCTTGTTGCCCAGAGGGGACTCATTTAACCTGAGTCTGTCAGATATGTCTCAAGAATGGGTTATAGGTGGCAGTACTATCCAAGGAGTTACCGTGTGGGTGACCATCCTCCCTGTTGATAACCAGGCTCCAGAAATTTCTGTGGGTGAACGGTTTATAGTCGTGGAAGGTGATAAAAGTGTTATAACCTCAACACATATAAGTGCTGAAGATACTGATTCACTAACTGATGACATCTTGTGCACCATAGTTATTCAGCCTACCTCCGGTTATGTTGAAAACATTTCGCCAGCTCCAGGCTCTGAGAAATCAAGAGCAGGAATCGCAGTAAGTGCCTTTACCCTGAAAGACCTCAGGCAGAGTCATATTAACTATGTCCAGAGTGTCCATAAAGGGGTCGAACCTGTGGAAGACAGATTTATATTTCGTTGCTCTGATGGCATTAACTTTTCAGAGAGACATTTTTTCCCCATTGTCATCATTCCCACCAATGATGAACAGCCGGAAATATTTATGAGAGAATTTATGGTGATGGAAGGCATGAGTCTGGTGATCGATACGCCCATCCTCAATGCTGCTGATGCTGACATTCCCCCGGATGATCTAACTTTCACTATTACCCAATTTCCTACTCACGGTCACATCATGAACCAGCTGATAAATGGCACAGTTTTGGTTGAAAGCTTCACCTTGGACCAGATCATAGAGAGTTCAAGCATTATTTATGAGCATGATGACTCTGAGACTCAGGAAGACAGTTTTGTGATAAGACTAACGGATGGTAAGCACTCAGTGGAAAGGATGGTCCTCATTATAGTTATCCCAGTTGATGATGAGACCCCCAGAATGACCATCAATAATGGACTAGAAATAGAAATTGGGGAAACCAAAATTATCAACAACAAAATATTAATGGCAACTGATTTGGACTCTGAAGACAAATCTTTGGTTTATGTTATTCGTTATGGGCCAGGACATGGCTTATTGCAGAGACAAAAACCTACAGGTGCCTTTGAAAATATCACACTGGGCATGAATTTCACCCAGGATGAAGTGGACAGAAACTTAATCCAGTATGTCCATTTTGGACAAGAGGGCATTCGGGACCTAATTAAATTTGATGTGACTGATGGAATAAATGCCCTCATAGATCGCTACTTTTATGTTTCCATTGGGAGCATTGACATTGTCTTCCCAGATGTGATAAGCAAGGGAGTATCCTTGAAAGAAGGTGGCAAAGTCACCCTCACAACAGACTTACTAAGCACCAGTGACTTGAACAGTCCTGATGAAAACTTAGTTTTTACCATCACCAGGGCTCCCATGAGAGGTCACTTAGAGTGCACAGATCAACTTGGAGCATCCATCACATCTTTCACTCAGCTCCAGCTGGCTGGCAACAAAATCTACTACATCCACACAGCTGATGATGAAGTCAAGATGGACAGCTTTGAGTTTCAAGTCACCGATGGACGTAACCCTGTCTTCCGGACATTCCGTATCTCCATTAGTGATGTGGATAACAAAAAGCCAGTGGTCACCATCCATAACCTGGTTGTCAGTGAGGGTGAAAACAAGCTGATCACTCCCTTTGAACTCACTGCCGAAGACAGAGATACTCCTGACAAACTTCTGAAGTTCATTGTCACCCAGGTGCCTGTTCATGGTCAACTCCTATTCAACAATACCAGACCTGCCACGGTTTTTACCAAGCAAGACTTGAATGAAAACTTAATCAGCTACAGACACGATGGCACTGAGTCGAGTGAAGACAGCTTCTCCTTCACGGTGACTGATGGTTCCCATACAGAGTTCTATGTTTTCCCTGATACAATATTTGAAACAAGGAGACCCCAAGTGATGAAAATCCAGGTCTTAGCTGTTGACGATAGTGTCCCCCAAATTGCCGTGAACAAAGGGGCCTCCACACTTCGCACTCTGGCTACTGGTCACTTGGGCTTCATGATCACAAGCAAAATATTGAAAGCGGAGGACAGAGACAGCCTACATTTTTCTCTCAGGTTTATTGTGACAGAGGCCCCTCAACACGGATATCTCCTCAACCTGGACAGAGGCAACTACAGTGTGACTCAGTTTACACAAGGTATGGCACACTTTTCTTTCCTTATACCCAATGGAAAATGCAGGTCTTATTTTCTGAGGGTATGGCTATCCCCGAAAACTTTGTAAGTAGGGGATCAAAATTGAATCTAAGGGAAGAAAAGGAAAGGGAAACAGAGAGATAGGGGGGCAATACAGAGACTCACTTTTCTGGGAGAAGAGCTCGCCTCTTGCTCTATGTCACACTGCAGCGCCCGGCCATAAGGAGGAGTACGAGTGTCTTTCGACAGCAGCAAGGTATGCTGCCAAGGCAGGAGCTAGACTTGGGTGAATTAAGACTGAAGCAGTCTTTTTAATTCTGCTTTCTTTGCCATCCCCGTCCTCCGAGTGGCCTGTTGGGTACGCTGCAGGTTGCTCATGAAACATGTGGGCACCTTAGAGAAAGCTGTGCTTTCTACATTCTTTGTATTCTTCTTGCTGTTATTTTCACCTTCCATTGAAATAGAGCCTTCAAATCTGTATTACTTTGATTAATTGTGAGAGCAATGTTCTAATCCTGTTACAGTTCTTAGAAACTTTGTAACTGAAAAAAATGTGTTTAGACCTACTTTGTAGGTGTATAATTCTTCTCTAATATTTTATGACTTAGGCAAACACCTCCAGCATCTGCATTCTTGAAGCTAAAGCATTTTTCTAACCTAAATTTTCTTTGTGTGTGGACACAATCTGAGACAGGAAGGGCAGGTGACCTCTGCAGAGTTACTCAGTGACTGAAGGGAGAAGTCCATTCAGTATGCTGGCTTGGGAGGCAGGGCTCTGTTCTCTAGAACGTGCGACCTTCACTAGAGAGGGCTTCGGGTGGCTTTCATGAAAATCTCACCATGTCAGGATGGAAACTAGATCTCTCCTATGTGGGCTCTGTGAGTGGAGATGAAGTTTACCCTCGGAGCATCCCAGTGGGGGTGTTCTCTTCCCGCAACAGTGTTGGGCTCTAACAAATGCTTTAATAAACGGATGTCGCAAAGTATAGTGTTAAAGTGAACTGCTTCTCTGTTTTAGATGCTGGCAAATAGCCCTGCACTCCAACCTCCTGATTCTTGGCTGAAAGCCTGAATATATTCTAGGGCCTGCAGGGACAGGAAAACCTCAGAGTGCCAAGTGTCATGCCAGACCAGCAGGAAACTTTTGTGTGAAGGCTTTCTGAGGATAGAGATGCCATGCAATCTTAGACTGGTTTATTTTCATGGAAAGTGAAGAGGATGAAAGGAATATATTACAGGATAGAAAATGTGACTTCAAATTGGTCCTCTGACCTGAAAAAGTAATCTGACTTTAAAGATTTTTTTTTTAAAAGGAATTTGTGGAAGAAGACAGGCAGACTATTTAATTTAAATTCTATGGACCAGGTCCAACAGCTGAAAATGTTGGAATATTACATCTTAAATATTGAACCCTAAATTATGCTATTTCAGAGAGAGGCTGTCTCTCTTTCTCTCTCTCTTTCTCTCTCTCACTGATAAGGACTCACCATGATTAGTCTTTATGGTCATTTGTAAATGTAGTCAGTTTATTATAACACGTGTAAATACATTTTTAAGATTATAAGAGAAATGAGCACATTCCAATAAGAACCCAAACACTGCTTGGGAAAACTACTGGTAGTTCATCACAGAGCACTCATTTAAGCAAGTTGAGGCTGCAGTTTGGCTCAGGGTGGTTATTTCTGGAGACGAGATGGGTGAGTAAAAATGGAGAGGCTCCATTACACAGCTACTGTGTTGCTCTCTTCAAAGAGAAATGAAAGCAGTAGCTTGAGTGAGGACGTCGCTAACTTTGTATTTGTTTTTGTTTTTCTGTTACCACGAAGGGATAAGCTGAACTATATTTTGATGGATTTTCAGTGCACTGGGTTAAGTCAAGTTAGCATATGTGGGCAAAGAAGGTTATTCCTAAATCGATTTGCTGGTTGGTCCCTAGGAGAAGAAAATCCATTCATTTCTAAACCTCATTCAATTTTATTATTAGGAAGACTTAACAAGGTAGAATTAGACAAATTAGAGAAATTATTTCAATGTTGCCTCTTTGCCAGGGTGCCCCTGCTGTCTCCATCACTTGTCTCAAGGACCTGGACTTTTTTCTCTATAATAAGTACACAGTGATATCTTGTGGGAGATACATTACAGATCACTTATAGAAACTTCCCCGAAAGAGTTTGAACCAAGGTGTGGTTGCCAGGCATGTCAGTGAACTTAGAATTAAAATGAAAATACAAAATCATGGAATGCTTGTATACATGAACTGAAATAAATCTGATGCATGATCAGTAATTAGAAGAAAAAGTTGAAAATAGAGCTACGCTATGACCCAGCAATTGCACTACTGGGTATTTACCCCAAAGATACAAATGCAGGGATCCAAAGGGGTACGTGCACCCCAATGTTTATAGCAGCAATGTCCACAATAGCCAAACTACGGAAAGAGGCAAGATGTGCATTGACAGATGAATGGATAAAGAAGATGTAGTACATATATACAATGGAATATTATGCAGCCATCAAAAAACAAAACAAAACAAAACCGAAATCTTGCCATTTGTAACGATGTGGATGGAACTAGAGGGTATTATGCTGAGCGAAATAAGTCAATCAGAGAAAGACATGTATCATATGATCTCACTGATACGAGGAATTCTTAATCTCAGGAAAAAAACTGAGGGTTGCTGAAGTGTTGGGTGGTGGGAGGGATGGGGTGGCTGGGTGATAGACATTGGGGAGGGTATGTGCTATGGTGAGCGCTGTGAATTGTGTAAGACTTGAATCACAGACCTGTACCTCAGAAACAAATAATACATTATATGTTAAAAAAAAAAAAGAAGAAGATAGTAGAAAGGGAAAAATAAAGAGGGGGAATCGGAGGGGGAGATGAACCATGAGAGACTATGGACTCTGAGAAACAGAGGGTTCTAGAGGGGAGGGGATGGGGGGAATGGGTTAGCCTGGTGATGAGTATTAAAAAGGGCATGTATTGAATGGGGCACTGGGTGTTATACGCAAACAATGAATCATGGAACACTGCATCAAAAACTAATGATGTAATGTAGGGTGATTAACATAACATAATAAAATAAAATTTAAAAAAAAAGAAGAAAATCCAGTTAATTGTTAGTTGTTTACTGAAAGGAAATAACATTTTTTTTGCTACTAGGTTTTGATCTTCCTAATACTAGTGTGTCTTAAGAAGTGAGTGTTTATATATAATTTATGATGTTTTTGATAGTTTTAGAGTTTCCTATAGAATAACAGCACTATGATCAAGGTCTTTACTTACTTGAGATTTTTTTAGACCTTTTTTAGTCCCTTTTTTGAACCATGAATTATTAACTGAGTTATAAAGAAAATGAAAAGGGTTTTGATTTGTTCCAACTAATCAATATTGCATGCCCTAACATGGACAGAAAATTTGACACCTGTATGTGTTAATTGCATTCATGTTCACTTCTTTAAAAAAGTTATAAAAAAGTCACTTCTGAAGTGGTGATTTATGCAGAGCTTGGGTGTACTAATGAATTTTTCCTTTTCTCATACTAGAGCCTTTAGATTTTCTTACAGAGTTAAAGAGCGAATGGGGAAGTTTGGAAAAAGCTCTTTCCACATGACCAGAGGACTTTGTCCTTAAGCTAAGGATGTGTGCTCAGGGTACAGTTCACTTCATTCCTTCCTGATGAATTAAAAGGTTGTAAGGGGTCAGAGTCGTAGGAGTAGACAGGTAAAGAGCTTGCAGGGGCTTCGCTCCTTACCTCTGTCGAAACATCACACATGCGGAGGTAGCAGTCCGAGCGTGGTCCACCAGACCTCTGGGTTCTTTCATTTTAAGTTAAGAAACATTTGAGCCGTTACTGAATATTAGACCCTAAGCAAAGGACTCTGGGAAGTTAAGACGAAAAAAAAAAAAAAAACAAACAAAACCAATCCCAGAAGTTTTCCGCCTTCTAGGAAAGGTAGCCACACAGAAAGACACAAAACTAGGCAGAAATTGGGGAAATTAGAGCAGAGTTAGAAAAAAAATGCTAAGAGGGAATAAAATGTCTTGAATTTGCTTCATCTCCTAGTACCCCTTTTACAAGAAACTACCCTTAACTATTAAATCAGATTTTCCCCTCCTCAGATGTCGGGTTATAAGCAAGTCACCTTTCAGAACTGTATGAGCCAAGGGAGCTTGTACGTTTCACATCTGTCAAATGGGGTCACAGAAATTCATGGGGTGTTGATTCCAGTACCTTACATCACTTGAGCTTATTCTTTCATAAAGTCATTTTCTTATATATGATGCTTGTAGACTTCATAGCACAAACTTGGTAGACCTCTTAGAAGATGGAAAAACTATAGAGTCCCCCTGAGACACATGAACATTACATGCCACTGTGGAAGCTACTCTTAGCTGTGATCTTGATTTTAAGTAGCCTTGGAAATAACTGCTTACTTCCCGGCCCAGGTCAATAACGGCGTATTCCGCGAGCATCACAGAACGGGATGATACTTGGTTTATTATGTTGTCTGTGCTGCGTCATTTAGGAGAGGAACTAGTAAAATGGGTGAATAAATTTTTGAAGTTGTATGTTAGTCAATCACTGAAAACAAACTATGCCGGTATATTTGAGAGCTAGGACAGAAAGCAAAAGAGCATTTCTGAGGCAGGATGACTTTTCACTATGAATAAAGGTTTCAGTTTTTATTAGATGTTTTCTGTTCTATTTGCTTTCTGAGGTCAGACGACTGTTATTTCAGTCTTTGGGATTTAAAATGCCTTTTATTATTTTTTTCTTTCAAACTCTGGAGAGCTTAAAAACAGCCTGTTATATATTGCAAGAGGTAAGAAAAGTTAGCCAGAGGAGGGCAGGGAAGTTCTTTCCTCCAAGGGCTGCCCTCCAGGGAGGGAAAGAGTGTGATTTTGGTAGTGCCAGGAAATCTTTCATGCCTCAGAATATCTCCCTTTCCACCTGTCATGAAGTCTGACATTCCATATTTAGACAGTCACTTTTTTAGTGCGTGAACATGCAAATACCACTGGGAGGGACAGCACCTTGCTATTATTATAGCCTCACTCTTGCACTCTGTCTGGGTAAGGGATCAGATTTCTGTGGGACAGCTGAAATCAGGGGCTTAGAGATAGAAGAAATCAGATATAGCACTGCTTCCCTTGGAATTAGGAAACCTAAACATGGTTACAGAGAAGTAAGGGCCAATTGAATTTACCATAAGTAGTGAGTCACCAATCTCGCCTTAGTAATGAATCATCTTGTTCTTGGGTTATTTTCTAGCTGACATTGACGACATGAAAATATGCTACGTTTTAAAAGACGGGGCCAATGCCACAAGTGATATGTTCCATTTTACAGTTGAAGATGGTGGTAAGTATTCACTCTCTCATTAGTATAAACAAGGAGAGTGACTTTTATTGGTTGTTCTTTGATGACTTCACTACAAAGAATCTGTATCAGGTATCCTTTTCAGCTCACCTGAATTTATACTGAGTGAATTTGTCATTTGCCAATAGATAATCTTACATTCTCAATCTGACACAGTACTACTCTGCAATGAGTATAGATAAATGTTCCGGTTACATTATTTTTGTCTTAGGATTTGTAATGTGCTAAAAAGAAAGACCTATGTAAATAGGATCCCCATGTCCAGTTGTTCAGAATATGTTCTGCATGATGCTGCCTGCTTGAGGTGGCAAGAGGATGTTGGAATCCAGCCCAGCTCCACTCTCAAGCCATGCACCTACCCACATGTGTCTGCCCAAAGGGGGTGCCTTTTGCTAATTTGTACTTGGGTGCTGTGTGGACTAATGCTGATGAATGATTGCATTCACCAGGAAATCAGTGCTAGGCAAATGTGTGTTTTATCTTACCAATCTCAGTATGTCTAATGATTTTCTTAGTTTGGGGAATTTTGTGACTTAGTCTAGCTAAAATTTTCCTCAGTGGGGGTGCCTGGGTGGCTTAGTTCGTTAAGCGGCTGTGTTTGGCTCAGGTCATGATCTCAGGGTCCTGGGATCAAGCCCCACATCAGGCTCCTTTCTCAGTGAGTAGCCTGCTCTCCCCTGCTTGCTTGTGCTTGCTTTCTCCCTCTCTCTTTCTCTGTCAAATAAATAAAATCTTTAAAAAATAATAATAAAATAAAATTTTCCTCGATGAAGTCTGAAGAATACTGTGCTCTGAGTCTCCCAAGCAATGTTATTGTCACTGTCCCCCAAAGCCCTGAGTGCTGCTCACTCTGTCTTCAGCTCTCTTCCTAATCCTGTAGGTAGAGAGAAAAACTGGCCACTTCTAGATTCATCATAAAGATGTCTCTGTTCTCTCATGCTCTCAGGAGAAGCAAAAGAATCTCAGGAAGTACATGTGTTGTGTGAACAGGACACAGGAAGTGGGGGGATTTGGGGATAAGAAATGAAGGAAGGAGAAAAGAAGTGATTCAGATCCAGTCACCTGTTTTCTTATGATGCTTTTTTTAAAAAGTACACTATTATGTCATCTACCTCAAAAGGATGACATGCTTACCCTCCATATTTTGTGAAGCATTAAATAGCACTTGTTTAAAATATCATTGGACATAACGTGATCACAGCTCTGAAAAATGGCATCTGCTGGGTGCGTGCAGGAGAGGCAAAAAAGGATGTTAATTTCGGTTCAGCTATTTGATTTTCCCTAAATGCTGGATGTTTAATAAATTTGATGCCTTTATTTTATAGTAACCAAATCATAGTTTAATATTTTATGTATTGATAAAAGGAATCTTTGTATGAAACCAATTTCTAAGAAGGAAGCCAATTGATAAAGAATAATGTGCTTATTGAATCATGATGCTCAAATGGGAAAGTCTACTGTCAGTAAACTTTAGAGTGGAACTCTGAAATAATTCAAATCTGCATAGTAGATCCAAATTTGTAGACTAAAGTATTGGCTTGAGGCACCAGGTTTGTCACTTAGAATGACTGAATATACCCCAGTAGCAAAAGTATGATTTTCTTTAAAATTACCCAAAAAAGTTTGAAATCAAATAGTTACAATTCTAAGATATTATAGCTTTTACTTTTTAAATATTTTGCTTTTTCAATCTGACACGGTGCCACTCTGTTATTCTGCCCATTTCTTTCCTTAGCTGGAGAGATTGGTAGCATGTGCTTTAAAATTGTGATTTGTACTTCAACTTTAGAAAACATTATGCTGTATCGTGTTTCAAAATATTAAATGAGCAATGGCTAGTTGAAGAAACTGGGTTTATTTTTGGATTTGCTGAAAATATGGCTGAGCGTCTAAGGGTTGTGTTTATGGAAATAGGAAATACATCATCTTCAGGAGCTTTTTTAGAGCTGGAGTTTCACGTGAAAGGGAAACATTCCAGAGATACTGTTCTTTAACTTTCTTCTAGCCACCGACATGGCATTACTTAGGAGGCTCGGGCAGATTCTGGCCAACTATCTATGGAACAGAATCTATCTTAATTCACCTGGTATTAGAAAACTTCCCTCTGGCAGAATAAACCCAAGAAACCTGCAAGATTAAAAAATAAAAATTCATGTATGTATTTCAAAATTGTTTTTTAGGATTTTTGCACTGTCTTGTAAAATACTCTAACATTTGAATGAGAAATGCAATACTATTTGAAGAGTATCTTGAATGAAATTATGTCTTTGGGAATTATGAGGTATTTTGCCACACAGAAATAAAAAAATATTGGCAATATTTGTGGTAAGAGAAAAAATAAAGCTATCCTTCCTTTCTATAAAAATAATGTTAAACTAAGAGTTTTGATTTTTTGATCCAATTATATATATCTTGCTCTTACAGTCAATAATTTTTTAAAAATACATTCTAGAAAAAAACCTTTTTGTATAGACTGTAATATGAACCTTTATTTTCAAAATCTTCACATTTAATAATACAAATTTTATGTAACAGAATACATGTTTATGAAGACACATATATGATATGTTTTGACACTCCTCAAAGATACATGTATGTCTTAGGAATTATGGAAGGTACTTGAATCCTATGAACAAGCATTATTCATGTTTTTTAGTTGGAGGGATCCAGGTCTCAGAAAAGCCAGGTGACTTCTCCAAATACATCCAGACCTCTGTCAAGGGTAACTTACTCTTCCCACATAGGTGATGACACACTTCTTGGACCAGTGGGTTTGGCTACCGAAGTCAGCCATAGTGATTTATTATCATCTCTTTTATACAAAGATAATAAGCATATCCATAAACCGTCTCCATGAAATACATGAAATGCTTCCAGTATTTCACATCTGGGAAGCCAGGCACCATGGCCTAAAATTAAGAACTGTCTACTCCAAATCTCTTTCCAATCCTTTAAATTCACCTTCTTCAAGTCCTCAAGAGTGCTTTTAGAGGGACGCCTGAGTGGCTTAGTGAGTTGAGCGTCTGCCTTCGGCTCAGGTCACGATCCCAGGGTCCTGGGGATTGAGCCCTACATCAGGCTCCGTGCTCAGTGGAGAGCCTGCTGTTCCCCCTGCTTGTGTGCTCGTGCGCTCTCTCTCTCTCTCTCTTTCTCTCTCTCAAATGGATAGATGAAATCTTTAAAAAAAAAAGTGCTTTTAGGACAGTGACTAAGGAAATTACTGGAGCAAGCATAATCCTTGAATAACCTAAAAAACTAAATATAACTTTTACTTTCAAGAGTCAAGAAGAGATTTAGGAAAGCAAAGAGCGGAAAGCCCTTGTTTCAGATTTAATTATACTATCATAAAAAACTAGCTAGCCACAGAAATCTTGTTATGATGTAGTGATGGATTTGGACCACCCATCACTAACGGGATGGTGCTTAGGACAGGTTACCACTTTTTAGCTTGGGGCTGTTACCAAATGGCAGGACTGAAGAAGAATAGGCAATGACAGGGCTTTACTTCAGGGAGTGCTACTGTGTTTGGATTTAATAAGCGTTGGTTGATAGAGCACATGTTACACACACACACGGAGAGAGATTCTTATATTTTAGGATTCTTTCAATTAGATCTTAAACCTTATATAAGATTTATGATTACTTATGCAGTTTTGCCTTCATAGCATTCCTATCAGCTTAGTAAAAACAAGCAAAAACATTACTGTTCCTTTTTGGCAGATGAGGAAACGGTCACAGAAATAGGTAATTGACCTTCCTCAAATTTCATAACCAGGCAACTAGAAGCCAGTCTGAATCCCAGGATTGTTTCTGCAAGCAGTAACTTCCATCCTTATTCAGGATAGGCAAAGCAGGGAGTTAACTCAGTGTTTTCTGGGTTCTCCCGACCAAGGTTTTAAAAATATTTAATGGTGAGAATGAAATAGGAGAGGATTTGTCCATAGGCAAAAAGTTATGTCTCTTATATAGTGTGAATTTTTATTTTAGAATTCTTTAAAGGCCACCGTGTACTCAAATTTATAGGATTCTTTTCTGATATCATACTGTAATTCTTTTTAAAAAATACACGTGGAAAAATATTTAGTCTTTCTAAAGTTTGAATAAACACAAATCAAATCAACCTTACAGTACCATTTTTTGTTTTATCAATTAAATTACAAAGAAACTTTAAAAAAAACCACACTTAAGGGTGCCTGGGTGGCTCAGTCGGTTGGGCGACTGCCTTCAGCTCAGGTCATGATCCCGGAGTCCCGGGATCGAGTCCCGCATCGGGCTCCCCGCTCGGCGGGGAGTCTGCTTCTCCCTCTGACCCTCCCCCCTCTCATGTGCTCTCTCTCATTCTCTCTCTCTCAAATAAATAAATAA